TATTCGTTATACTTCAGTATTATTCTAGCACATTTCAAACTGCTCGAAGGAAATTTTCCACAGTTTTTACCGTCGAAAAATGAGAACGCTGATTTAGAAATCATTTGCGATGAGAGTTCAAATCAACGATGAAGTTTCCGACTACTTGACCAGTTTTTAATTACATGGCTAGGCTGAAAATTTAACCTCTTCCGCTTCATTCACAACTAGTATTTCTGCTCTCCGTAATTGTTTCATATTACATTCAACATCATTAGAATTTACAGTCAGATCAAAATTGGCGAGGTCGTTATCGTACTTGATCCAATTGTCAAACTTTTGCTCATTTCAGAATATGGTATTGAATAGCTGGTAATATAAAGAATATTATTACTGTAGCTGTGTATCGTTCCGAATCAGTTCCCAGAGTGTTTGATAGGGTACCCCAAGGACCCGATCAATGTAGTGTACGATACCATTTGTCCCTGCCACATTCTCTTGAATCAGAGCTGCTTTAATACCGGCACCAATCACGTAATATGCTGAAGAGATTAGCTGCTTTCATTTTGATCATTCAGATAGATATTTCGGAAATTCCTGCCCTTACACCAAGTCCTTCAGGCAATACTGAACAGTCATTTGTAAGCGATTTCATTGTTCACCTATTTTTTTTTTGCTTAATTCATAAGGTACACCAAGGAGAGTGATTAATTTGAAGGTGCAATAAAATCAGCGTTGACTGACTAAAAGTTCCACACGAATTCATACGGCTTACGGTTCTATCGGGATTATGTGTTGGGATAGCGCTTGCCAACGGAACTATCATGTTTGAAGCGATCGCATCGTTCCTATGAAAATTGTGAAAGAATAATCGTGAAACATACTGATATTATTTTTCGGCCATTCGCCTCGTATGAAATAGAGCTGGAATCGATTATCAACCGAGTTTACAATTGTTTGATTGGTGATTTCGTTACTGGTCAACTCTTTGGCCGGTACAATGTGTAGCTTCAAAACCTGAACAGCATCAAGTGAATTATTGAAGAGCAACATTAGATTTTGCATTAGTATGAAGTGATTATGATTATTTATCGGATTGGTATTTGGCTACGTTTAATTGTACAAAATATTCACGGCAACTAATTAAATACTCGGTTATGTTCACATGGCCTGTTCGCCTAGCCAGCGGGATGGCGTCAATCAAGGCTAAAACAGTGCGAACGGAAACGCGAGCATTGTATCAATCAAGGCTAAAACAGTGCGAACGGAAACGCGAGCATTGTGGCCAGCGACATTGCAAACGTTTGATAGTCTGGCCAATCCAGGTAATCCAGGTAAACGAAATGATTGTGATAGAAACGAACCTGCTCCAGCCAAATACGATTCCTCAGCAGACGTCGTTCGATATTTTCGGGAATACGTTCGAATGCTTCATTGTATGGAGCAAAGAAAGTCACCAGACCACCACTCGCCGATAGATAACCGCGAACCAGTTGACCAATTGTGTTCATATAGCGCATTAGAGTTGTACACCTTGGATTACCCATTAACAACTGCAAACAATGATAACATTGATCATTTTCATGGAAATTACGGCAGTATCAATATCACATGCCTACAAGTTGCATTATGAGATTGTTATCACTGTAGATAACAATTTTTGCAATGATCAGATCAAGTTCAAGCGATATCGATAACTCTGTTAGTATAATATGAGATTAATGTTTTCAAAAGGATGAAAGCGTTGTCATGGAAGACTTTTGACAGTATGATGGTGGTGCTGACTGACCTGATCAATTGTGTGGGTGACAATCCCTAAAACATTATCGATAATATGAACGACACCATTTTGTACCGGTATGTTCGGTACCAAAACTTTAGCCCATACGGCACCCCGCCGGAACTGACTATACCGTTCGTAGACATCCGATACAGCATAGACTATAAACCAGGTTATCGGTATTTTTTAGTTTACTTCAAGCGAATGATCAAAATTAGTTTCATGTTGTCGCAATTG